TGAGCCATCTGGAAATTTTACTTTCCTGAGCCATATGCTGTTCACTCTATCCACCTTAAAAGAATCTCCAGCTCTTTGTAGTCTGGATTTTTGCTTTAGTGTAGGCCTGCACTCTGCAAATGCCCGAAGCCCCGTGCAGTCACTGTGCCCCAATCACTCCTGAGGGCCAGCAGGCTTGCACAAGTGAGCCTTGTCCTTGAATAGATGGCTTGCTGTGGGTGCAGACAGAAAGAGCTGTGCCACCACAGCCAGGATATTCCTGGCTCCTTGGGATTTGGCAAGCACGATGCTGTCTGAGAGAGAGGCTCTCCAAATGTTCTCACCTCTATCTGCTTCAACTTTCAACCTCCCACAGCACTTCGACTTTCCTTCCCCCTCAGGCTGATTTTGGAGTAAGGACTCCCAGAAAGCTCAACTGGGACATCCAAAAATATTTAAAGAGGTGGGGAAGTTTCTTCATTTAGTATTTCTTTAGTGAAATGCAGGGCAAAACAACCCAACATCTCTAAAAAACCTGGCATTTGTCTAGGGCTACCAACATCTTGGACTATCTAGCACTCAGCAGGCAAAGCTAAGGGGATCCAAGAGTGCAGTTAACATCAAGTAATGTCGTTTGTTTTGCTGTGGTGAAGCAGTAACAACATGGTGATGCCATTGGGAACAATGGCAATTACACAGCAAGCCACTTCAGCATTACTCTATCATTACAGCTTGATAATATGCAATCAAAACGTTATTAGCAATCATCAGCAGCATCTATTATTCATTGCTTAGATCAAGCTAAGAAAGGGAAGGCTGAATGTCTACCAGTAACAGGACTCTGAGCCAGTCTAAGCACAGGGTTGGAAGGTAATTCCATGGCCACATAGTGCTGAGTCACCACTGCATAACCTTCAGAAATATTACCATCTCAGTTGTTCCATGTATAGAAATGAATAAAAATAATAATCTATATTTCCAATTTTATTAGGAATAATTAACTCAGATAAGTGTTATCATTAATTTCATAGTGGTTACTAATTCAGAGTTAAACTACTTGATTGTAAAATTTAATACTTATATCTAAAGTTGCAGGCATTCAACAGATGCAAGGAGTTATCTGAAGTTGTAAAATATGTGCACCTACATATTTGTGCACAAATGGGCCCATAAAGCATATGAGAACACACACTCAGCCTAAATGGTCAGTTGGTTTCAGCTCCTTCATACTGAAAATACGCTGGATAAATGTGTGTGAACTCTGACACAAACAGCTCTAGTATGTAAAGTATCTTCCATGTATGCACAACTTGTTGCAATAATTTTAGTATTTGAGTTGTCAGTTTTTTCAGTAGGCTAATGAGCTCTAACATGACAACCAACCTGTATTCCCAATATGTACCACAGTTTGGAAACTCCAAAAGTAGAGCTGAAAACAATCCTCTGTTCCTTCTCAAAAAGTAATTTTAGTTTATATTCAAGAGGCAACCAATGTTACCTCTATTTATTTCCCTACCTTATTTTGAGTAAAAGAATTATACAATGTACACCTTGACAATTACTTGATAAGTAAATCAGGAAAGCATCAGAAATAGCTGACTAAAGAAGCACAGTCTGGTATTTTTTAACTCCATACTTCCATCAGCATTTTATCTTCACCTCTTCAGTGCAACCAGACATGGCTATTACAAGCAAAAACCCTGTTAATAATTTTATTAACAGCACTAGTTTCTCTATTTTTTTCAACAAGGAAGAATTCTAAGTTAATTGAAATTTAGGTCTCCCAAGCCTGTAACCTGACTTATGTGGGCAGGCATAAGTTACCTACACAAACTGACAATGCTCTGCAGAGGTACAAAAATGCATCACCAAGATCCACCCACACATCTTCTTCACACTGAGTTCCCCCACCTAGGCATGTACCTCTGACTGGTGTTTTTAACCACCATTTGTATCACTCTTAAAAGTCTGACTGCAGCTCCAAAGTCACTAAGAACAAGCAAGGATCACTAGACCATCTTTTCTCATTCTTTGTTCCACTAAACAAGGGGAAAAAAGTTCTTTTGAGTGATGGGAGAAAAGAAAAGAGGTGAAGTGGAAATAGGTTTTAGAAGATGAAAGACACAGTTTCAAGTAACAAAATAACTGATAAACATCAAGGTAGGTTGATTTTTACTGACCAGAAAGAGAAATTGGGATATTAACATTAAAAACTTACCATAGTCAGAATTGATCAGTTTATAAACTAGTTTATTTTCACTTAGTGACTAAGTCACATAGTGACTTAGATAATATGATTTCTGGTATTATCTAGCCAGGCAGCATAGGAACAAAAACATTGGGACATTTCAGGAAATAAATGGAGAGGGTCTGTTACCACTAGGGCACAGAAACAGATTAATGGCATTTCTCTGCTAACAAAAAAAACCCTCTATAATTTTTCACACCTGTTTTACACATATTTGTTTCATACAAGTAAGAAGAGTGCAAAAGAGAATTAAACAAAAAAGGTGAAAATATATACACTATGCATGCTGGGCAGGCTGCCAATGTGAATACAACACCCCAGTTCCATCAGCACATGTGGGTGAAAACTGGTAAAGCTCCAACCATTTTACACAGAAGTCCCTTGACTGTAAAGGGACTTCAGCTTCATTCAGTTATTTAGTACAAATAGTGAGTTACATCTCAACAGAGAGGGGCCCTATTTGATACTTTTGCTATAGTTGGTCTGATTTGCACTTTTGCAGATCCAAGCACTTTGTAACTCTTCTATGTTTGACAACTGTGTCTCTTCTATGTCACAGAGGGCAGAGATGGAGGAAGGAAGTGAGCCCAGAATATATCCAGGCATGGATCACCTAGCTAGCAACCCCTGGCACAAGTGCTCATCTAAAGCACTCACTTCCTTTCAGCTTTTCCCCCTGGTTTTAGAAACCACAGAAACATGGAATGGTTTGGTTTGGGTTGGAAGGGACCTGAAACACCATGTAGTTCAAACACTGCTGCCATGGGCAGGGAGCCTTCCACTGGACCAGGTGACTCAGAACCCATCCAGCCTGTCTGGTCAATGAGTCCCAGCCTCCATCCCTGGCTCAGCAGGTTCTGGCATCATCACATGATGAGTGAGCTCCCAGCGGCTCCCTTGACAAAGTGGATGGTCCAAGGCACCCTGATGCCCAGACCCTGGCTGGGCTGTGCCCTGTGAAATTGCAAGATGTACCCAAGGAGAGTCCCCCAAGGCCCCATCCCTGCTGCACTAAAGTGGAGCCATGGGACTCAGCATATCCTCAAAACCTGACACCACTGAGAGAGAGCCCTGGGGACATCTGTGCCCAGCCCTTGGGGCAGGACCTGACCTGTGCCAGTACCAAAGCCTCTGGTACATCTGTTCCTTGTAAGTAAAAAGGCACGATTTCCAGATGATGCACGCTAGTATCAATTTTATTTTAATGCAATTCACACCAGTTCTTTACACCAGCTGTCAGCAAGGTCTGGATGACCTTGTTTTAAGTGTTTATGTTTTCCAAGGAAAGAAACATTATCTGAAGCCTGGTTTATGTTTATTTTGAAAGACCAAAGAGTTTATTTTGAAGAATCCAACTGAAAATGCTTAAAAAACTATGATAGATACTCCGAAGTATGAATTGGAAAACTTGAAATATATTGCATATGTTGTATGGGCCACTGACAAATAACAGGAAAGCAGTGTGTGCTTACGCAGTTGGGAGTATCCAAACTGTCATTTGGTTGTCTTATTTGCACAAGATGTTGGACAAAAATTAAAACAGAAACAAATGTGCAATAAATTTTGTGTCTTGCAAGTTTAAAGGATAGTTACAAATGAACTGTCACAGCCCTAAAAAGGCCAGTCTCCATTTGATCTTACTCTCTTTCCTGAATACCTCCTTCTTATAACTAGAAATACCCTTATTCTGCATGGACCACTGGCCTTGGCCAGACTGAGCACTATTCAGACACTGGTATGACAACAAGTTATGGCAGAAGCACTGTCACTGAGAAACCCCACACAGTTAAAACAGTGCCACCTCTTTCAAAATAAGTAACAAGGCTGTTTTGCAGCATGTCCTGGAAAGAGACTTTTCCCATTCCCTATTCCCTTACCCAGTCCTTTTCTTGGATTGTCTCTGTAAAGGTCCTTACACTCACAGCTGAAGGCCAAGTCCCCATACAAACTCTTGGGACAGCATGAAGTTTGTAAGTACCTAAGCCACAAGGTTTTAGATAAACTATTTGTTTCTAGACCCAAAGATTATGAGCTTCATTTGAATTTAAGTCACCTTTCATTTCTACTGCTAGAGATAACCAGCAAAACCAGCAGAGCAAATACTGGTGCAGTATCACATTTATTGATAACAGTGAAATACTTTAGCTTTTCAAATGTACATGATGGGTCCAGAAAAAAAATTTGTTGTGGAAAATTTTGTACAATCTGTGCACACACAGGCAACAAGCATATGGGTATCTTAATTCACAAGTATTATGGGAATAAGAATCAGTTTAGAAATTTATTTGGATTACTATTTATTCCCAGTTGTCATAAAACACAATATAACCTCCACTGCTGGTATACTTCATCCAGACAATCCTAACTACTTCCAAAGCAGGATTATTTACTAACCTCAGTACACTACTCAAGCAGCAAGGATTCCCAAAGGACATATCCCATCACAGTAAGCATTTCAAGCTTTTAGAGTAAATTTGATGCAGAATTTCTAAGCAAAGGAAAAACATGGCAACTTGCAAAGTAGCGTCAAGATCAACCTTATATTCTCCATCATTCTTTGTTTCTACTGTTAAAACCATTACAAACTCTAATTCAAGAACAGGAAATGCATCCAAGGAAGAGAAGGGGTAGGAGCTGATGACAATCTGGATAATTTTACTACAATAGTATCAGTCAGCTACCAACTCAGCTCAGCAGCAGTCTGGAAAAGGAAGGGATGGATCTATTCCAAGAACGGCAGGAGTGAAGATTATAGAAAAAGCAGAGGTCTTACCTCCACAAAGAGCTCTCCAGAACTTTCCCCATGTCAGTATGATAATACTTGGTAAGGATCAGGATCACCTAAAGAAAATTAGAATAAATAGATTTAAATATGTAAACTGATGTAGAAACAGAAACAGACATGGGCAGCATGATTTTGGGAAAAACAAAAGTGAGGCTTCTGAAAACCTGAGAAGTATTTTACCTCATTTTAACTCTTAGAGTTTTGCTTTTGAGCCTGGCATTTTCATTTTTCTTTCTGGGAAGAGTGATTTCAGTGCTTGAAGTTTTCTGCAAACCTGGTGACTGTGAAAGATTGCCCATTTCACATAAACAGTGGAGTTGGAATTGTCACATAAATACCACCAGCACATGACATTCCTCAAGCAATCTTTATGACTTTCTGATTAGGAAAAACCAGCCTGGTTGCTTGTTTAAATTTAGGAGGCAACTCTACAGACACAATTTTTTTTTTTTAATCCTAAGTGTTAAACAATTGTGATTAACTTTGATTATCCAGATTTAAAAAAATCAGGAGAAAAACAGCTCTGGCCTTCCTTACAAAATCAGCAATGCAACTTTCATAGCTATCACTTTTCATTTCTTGAAGCATCACTTTTTCCCCTTCATGAACCAGCTCCGTGCTCAATAAATCACTCATCTGCATCAGCAACAGCCAACAAAACACACAAGCAAATTTTATCCACAAAACATCTTCATCCTATGAAAATAGTCAGCAACAAATATTTTTCATCTTCTCAACAAGTGACAAATTCACTGGTCAAATAATGTAAAGCAGTAGCCCACAAGCAGTGGACCAAGCTGAACACTATGGTTTATGCTTGGATCTTGTACAGGTTTCTTTCATTTGCTGCCAGCCCATCTTAGTGGCTCTCAGAGCCCCATGCCCACGGCAGCTCCAGAGAGGCAGAACAGGCTGGTCCCCTGCACAGCTGGAGACTTCCTTTAATGTGGGGTCAGCAGCAGCCTCCAACAGCTTGGAGGAAGCTGTTATTTGACTGGCACTGCTCTGCGCTGACCACCAGATGAAATCTACAGCAAACAGCAACTGTAGGTGTTTGCTTTGATTATTCAGATAATTAAACATGCCAATGATACATTTATGCTGCACTCCATGTATGCTGGAGATTGTGAGAGAACAGAATTACAGTCTAAGGATGTTATTACATGGAAATAATGCAGTGTTTTACAGAACTGAGGTGTAATACCAGTCTCACCCAGGGTTAGCCAAACCTAATAAATTCACAACACATATTCCTGGATGTATATTGATATAAGCAAAAGTGGAAACAATCCATAATTCACAAGTATTATTCACTCCTATTCTCAAAAGAGCCACAATTTACCAGATCACTTTTTTGGAATTTGATTATTTATAAAAATAAAAGTTTTGGCTTAAAAAAAGAAAAAAAAATAGGTTACTACAAGACTTAGAAAGCAAAGGGTAAGAGCCATTTCCCAAAGGAGAGTGTATGTATCTGTGGATGAGATTCCTGGCTACAACTCAAGCACGTTCTACCAGGTCAGCTATTTATTGTATCATCAGTGTCTTAACTACAGCTTTTACTGGTGCTTGCAGTTAAGAGGAAAAAGAAAGAAACTTCACTATTGGGAGCATCTATTGGCTCCAATTATTAAGGAAAAAGTTTCAGACTGTGCCTTTCCAAACAAGTATAATCCCTCTTAAGTCACAAAAACTGATCTAGAATTTATTTTTTTAAGAGATACAAGAATGCATACTTGGTACATGATAATAAAAAAGAAAATACTTAAAAATACAAGAGATTATACTTTCTTTCCTTCCATTTATGTAGAAATGGAGGCTGAATCCTGAACTTAGTGAACCAACTTTCTTCATCCCTGTACATCCTAGAATTAGAAATTTTAAAATTCAGATAATTTTCAGCAATGTGTGTTGGAGCCATCCTGCCATTGTTCCATTCCTGAATTAAACAGATTAAAATCACACACAGAAATTCCTGTGGTGTCATCCTCAGTCTACCTGCTTTGAACATAACCTGTATGGATGCACCAACAAAGAACCTTCCAGAAAAGCCATTTCTGTAGCTTAGCACCTGTCAGGAATGTTAAAGACTGACAGGCTCATGGTACTGCTGGCTAGCTGCAGTTCACCTGAGCATGCACACACTGAACCAGAAAGGCACTGCTGTTCCACACACCTCAACTGAATGGCTTTCAGGTAACTGCAAACTGCAGTGGGGAGGAGCCATAAGCAGTAAAACACCCTCTGGATGCTGCAGGATTGCTGCTTTAAACTGAGTCAGAGCTCTGAAAAATAGATGTCAGTACTTTCCAATCTGACTGGTAAATTCATGTAAAATTTAAGTTTGCACCTTATTTTGCACTTGGGAAGTAAAGAGAATGACTTAGTAGGAAAAACAAAGCCCTAAGAAGCCATCTCTGAACTCTCAAACAACATTAGCAGATTCCTGTAATGAATTAAGAAGAATGAAGCTGCTGAGGGGCTGACCATCGTATCAACTTTGCCAGTGGATTTCATCCCAGTATCTGAATAATGGAGGCATCTATTTAACAGATTTCACAGCACAGTCCTTTAGCCTGTGGGCACCTTTTCAGGTGATCCTGAAAACAGGATCCAGGCTGATCATAATGGCAGTTTTTCTAAATTAATAGATAGATCCAAAGAACAGAAAGAATTATTTCACAGTGAAAGCATAAAGGTCTTCAGGATCTCTGCATTCTACCCATCATTTTTAAGAGCAGAAGCCTGGTTCACTGATTTCATTTTAATGAGACTCCATAATTATGAGCATTTTACAGGCTGGATTGAAGCCAGTGGTTCATACACAGTGGTTCATACATGGCTCTCCAGTGAAAGTGCTTGGGTGGCCTGTGGTGGGGAGAGACACAGCAGCAACTGAGCAGTGATCAAGGATATGATTCTTAACCAGCTCATACCATCAGTCATGGACAGCTACAACAAATTTAACTTTTTTTCTCTTATTATTTTACAGCTAAAACAAATGTAGGCAATGAAGGAGAATTAAGATTTATCAGATTTTTTACTTTAAGTTAGATTTATAGGATTATCTAGAAATCTCCACTCTATCCAGACTTCCAGAGACTTGTGAATCCATTTTAAACCATTTAAACTTCACCCACAATTCTTTGAGTTCCCTCCCAGAGTATGACAATGGAGGTGACAAGAATGATTACTGTCATGTGCTAGGGGCCTATGAATACCTGATGGTGCTTCTGGACAAAAATCCTGAAAGGGAAAAAAAGAAAGTGAAAACTTTCAGCTTTTACCACAAAAATGATACTCTATTACCTGCTTCTTTACCAAAGCCTTTGGTAAAGGCCTCTCCATCAAGCCAGTATTTCTCTCTAGGTGCCATGGTATGGAAGATAAATCCCTGATGAATTCTAAGAATCAAATGCAATGTGCATCAGAAGTTAGTTTTCCATGGAAGAAATACCTAGCTTCAGTCAAATTCTCTGTGTCAGGCCTTCAGAAATTTCTCTACCTCATCCTCCCCCTCCTTTTTTGGTGGGGAAAGGGACAGTGGGGTGCACAGATGGAATTCTGGTTCTCCCACATCATTCCTCTGCTTCCATAACTTCGTTCTGCCCGTGTGAATTCTCAGTAGTCTCAGCTCCAAACTGTTCTCCAAATAAAGGAGTTGGAGCAGTTTCCATTCAAAATCTTTTCTGGATATAGAGCTGTCTTCAGGGGTGCACTGGGTTTTCAGTGAATGACAGACCAGGAAAACAAATGGAAAATTCCAGATATTATTACCCATGAATAATGCAAGGTAGAATGATCTATGTTTATCCCCTCTCCTTTCCTGTTGCTCTCCTCTGAAAATGCTTTGCAGCAAGGCTGGGCTGAAAAGAGAACAACTTCACTTTACAAGACACAATGTGCTTTTAATCATTTCCTAATAAAATTTTGGCTTTAAGAAGCCCATTTTAATCCTCTCTTTTCATCACCATGTAAGCTAAGGGGGCTGAGAAGGGAAAAAGGAATGAATTCTAGATCAATCACCTTTCCTGGTGTTTATATTTTATCTTTCTCCGGAGGATTTGCTAAAGTCCTTTTCTCTTTGATAAACATCAACTTTTGGAAAACTATTTTATTTTTTCCCCATGCTCCCTCCATGATGCTTTTTTTTCATGGACCATTCTTAACAAAGATCTCTCTTTTTCTATCTACATGCAGATTCTTTCAGATAAAATTTATTTTGGTTCCTGAAATTTGTGATTTTAGGTTTCAGGATTTTTTTAATCTATTTAGAAGTTCCAAAGCAAAAATCTCATACTTCCAAATGCACAATTACAAGTATGATTGCAAGGTTTTGTCTTTTCTCAAGTTTTTAGACATTGAGAGCATGCTGTAAGTACTTCTGGGCAGCCAGAGCTACCAGGAAAATAAACTCCTCAGACAGATTCAAGTTTCTGCAAACTTTTTAGCATCTGCTTAATTTAATTCATGTGAATGAACCCACTGAAATCCAAAGAAGTGTTTATGAGAGCCACTTAATACCCTGTATGACTGGAAAATAAGCTGCTTTTTTGCTCAAGAACAGAGCCTCACTCACCTTTTCAACTATTTAACTATTCCACTGTACACCACAACTATTTTGGGGAGATCAAGAGGTTCTAGGCACATCCTATTAATTTTTCACTACCACCCCCTGTAATTCCAAAACTTTTTTGACACCTAATAATCAAAAAGCTCCCTAACAAATTATAGGCAGCCACCTACTGCTCCAATCCCTCAAGCCAATTCCACTTTTGCAGGAGCAGGCTCTTCAATCATCATGCTAAGAGCAATGTTAATTTTCACATCTCTTATTTAAAACAAAGACTCTTAAGAGAAAAATAAAATTCAGGAAATTATTAATATGAAGGCACCTTACTACAAGGCTATTATATGGACTAACATACTACTCTTAATAACTACATCATAATTTGATTATGCTAGGAAAACTAAACAGAAAAAGGGCATTTAGGTTGACTCTGTTGCAGCACTATGATAAAAGGTAAAAAAGCAAACATTTAAACCATTATTTAAG